AAATATGAAAAATTAAGAGTGTTATTAGTCAAATTAAGTCAGAAAATAATTGAAGATAATGAGAAAGTAAAAAAAGAATTCAAATATCTTCACTCTTCTTATGTTCTAATTCGAATAAATTTAATCTAAAAACAAGTTCTTGTTCAATAGCGAATTTTAATGTACATATTCATTTCCTCGTAGCCCTTATAGCTCAGTGGTAGAGCGCCAGTCTTGTAAACTGGAGGTCCGTAGTTCAATCCTGCGTGGGGGCATTTCTCTTTTTTTATTTTTTTAGTTTTAAATTTCATTCTTTTGTATTCTATCCTTCTTTAGTTACCATTCCTATTCAGATCATTTTAAACATGTATATATATATCACAGCTGACGCCAACACAATAAAAGAAATACAGAATAATAATACATGCTAGTATACTTACTTACATTTTAGATTCTAGAAAAAAAAAAAAATTTATTGTCTACACAAACCAAGAGAATATTCTATGTTTTAACTATATTCTAGTTTTTAAAAACGAAGAAACTTAATGGTATGAATAAATGCTTTTATTTTCTAATAAATACTTTATTAAATTTATTTTTTTCGTATGAAAGGAAAGCATCTGGGATATCTATATCTTACTATCTTCTCAATTATAGTCAATAAATTTATTCTTTTTTTTTTTCTTATCTGACCTTTTTGTCTTTTTGCCCTATCTTTCTCATTTCTCTAGTATTCATTCGTCGTCATATAAGATTTCAACAACACTCTTTTATTGATTCAATCCAATTTTAGATACACTCAAATTCTCATAACGATTTTCCAAAGAAGCATAGCCTGATTGATCCTTCTATAATATTATAACATGATAAGATGTCGAATGTAGATCTAAATAGCCTAAAGGATCATAATATCTTTCTATTTTACTAAATATAATGTATACTCGTAGGTCAAAATAAAATATCTCTTAGCTATATAAGAATATTTGTATTAATCTTAACAAAAAATATCTTGACATAAAAAATTTTTGTGTCTTAATCTACAAATAACATATATCAATCTTAGAGTAATAATACCGATGAAAGTTATAGTTCGAATGATATATAATGTGTTCACGGAAGGAATAAGGAGGTTCCTGTTTTCTTTTTTTTTTCTGTCAATCTAGAAGAGAATAGACTGATTGAGGCAGAAATAATTCTCAATGAATCTTTCGTCTTCTTTTTCTTTTGTAAGATAATAATAACTTGAATTTCTAACGACATGGATAATACAAAAAAAAGAGAGAGAGAGAGAGAGAGAGAGAGAGAGAGAGAGAGAGAAAGTGGAAGAGAAGAAGAAGAAGAGAAAAAAAATGAATTGTTTCTTTCGATAATTATTCAACGAAAATGAAAGTTGACTTTCCGGAACAATAGAAATAATGATACAAATATTTGTTGAGTGTTCATCTATCTCATTATATTTGTTAATTGCAAATATTATATGATAGATAAGTTTAGATTTTTCTAGTGATAAACAATGGAAAAGAAAGAGAGAGATTGATAATTGAACCAAAAGTTAACTCAAGAATGTTGTTGTTGTTGTTTTTAAATAACTTAAAGGATTATTTTATTTTAAATAATAAATACAAAAGAAACTCGAATATGAATAAGATTTTATATATTACAATTATTTGATATAAAAAAAAAGATAATATTATTTTAGTCTTATTTTCATTTCAAATAATAGAATGAATTCATTTCTTTAATAATTATTTATATCGAGTATATAAAAATTTCCTCGTGTAGAATAATTTTGTACAATGAATTAATTTTTTTTCTCTATATATAGATAAAAATATCGTGACTAGATTATTCCATACTGTTGATCTAAGTATAAGATTTGTTCTTTATTCAATATATTAACAAGCAATATAAATATTTACTTATTTATTTTTAGCAATTTTTATTTCATTATTTTATACTTTATATCTTGTAAATATTTTGAAATGATTTTTTTCTACATGAAGTATAATAGTATTGCGAAACTTTTTCTTTTCAACACGGAATATAACTGATTTTGAAAAATATGCAAAATATGTTTAGAAAGTGATAAAGAAATATTTGGATGATATATAGTATGCAGTAATACATGAAATGGAAACGATTAAAAGGCTGAATGATTTTATTTTATTTAGAAGCAATATTTTTGAAGAAAATTAATTAATAAAACAAAATCTAACGAGCAATTTTTCAAATTTTGAAACAAATAGTGATGATGAAAATTTAAACAACAATTCTTATATCATATTTGTACGTTCTTTTTACTTCTAAATTATCAACCAAATATTATACTAGGTAATAGTGACATACCCTATGTCGTTTGTTTTTATCATACGCACATTACCTTTGTTTTTTCTTTACTGCACTCTTTCACACATGCAGACATCTATACAGTGAATATTAAGATTTGTTTTCTTCTATCTCACAAGCTAAAATGACGTCCGCCCTCAACGTAGCGCCCCATCACGGTAATCTTTTTTTTAATTATTCAAAATTTGTTATATATTCGTGAGTATTCTTTTTTTTTGTAATAATCAATTATAGAAAGAGTATCATTATTATCGCCTTCAAGTGGTTATGAAAATTATCGAGGTTTTCTTAATCTTATTTATGTTATATTGGGAATTGGTGGGTGTCGTCTCGTGATAGAAAATATTCTTCAATATGGATTATTAATTGATTTTAATTGGCCTATAAAATTTCTAAAAGATCCAACACATTGGCCATCGGTTAATTATTTTTGAATTGTATTTTGAAATTTTTATATTTATTTTAAAATTTTTTTATTTAGGTATTTCTTATTGTATTAGTTAATTTTTTTATTCTATTTGAATTTTGGCTTGAATTAAGACTTAGTAAAATTCATATATTAAAATCAAGAATAACAACTACATGTATATTTTTACAATTTATTAATTTAATTGTAATACTTATTTTTCCAGCAATATATGTTTATTATCGTCAACCAAATCCAGTTGGTGCATTTTTTGCTATTTTTATTTATACAATAGTTTTATTAAAACTTTTTTCTTATTTACATATTAATTATCAATGTCGACAAGCTTTATTTCAAAGAAAAAATGGTTAAATACATTCTTTTTTTTTGTTAATTTCGATAAGTGTAACTTTAATTTTTCTTAGATTCACGTAGAAATTCGAATGCATCAAAAGGTCGAATAGTATATCCAGGTAATTTAACGTATAAAAATTTATATTATTTTATGTTTGCACCAACACTTTGTTATGAATTAAATTTTACACATTCATTACGTATACGTAAAGGATTTATTTTACGACGTTGTATGGAAATTCTTGTACTTGCATCATTACAATATTGTCTTGGACAACAATGGATATTACCTATTTTACGTACAATTGATCGACCACTTAATCAATATTCAACATTAGAAAATATTGAACGTTTATTACGTCTTGCATTACCTAATCATCTTTTATGGTTAATTTTTTTTTATGTTTATTTTCATTCAATATTAAATTTATTAGCTGAATTATTATATTTTGGTGATCGATATTTTTATCTTGATTGGTGGAATGCAACAGATTTAAGTGAATTTTGGAATCGATGGAATACAATTGTACATCATTTTTGTAAACGACATATTTATAAACCATTAGTTATTCATTATGGTTTTAATAAATTTATTGGTTCATTAGTTGTATTTTTAATAAGTGCATTTTTTCATGAAGTAATTTTGTTTTTTTCTTTTCTTTTTATCATAAAATATTTTTGTTTTTCTTTCTTATTTATAGTATTTAATTAGTGTACCATTACGTATGTTACGCCCATGGAGTTTTCTTGCTATGATAGTACAAGTACCAATAGGTATAGTTGTTAAACGAATAAGTTTAGAAAATAAAACATATGGAAATTTAGCTGTATGGATATCACTTATACTTATACAACCAATTGCTATTCTTCTTTATATACAAGATTTATTTTATCGAGATTTTGTCAAAGATAAAATTTATACTTAACTTTATATAATCCAAAAAAAAAACAAAACCATTCATATGAAAATTTTTGACATAATATGTAGTGTTGATTGCTTTTTTTTTGATGCCGTCAAGATTTGTCAAACGAAAAAAATACTAATTAGAATATACATTTCTATTATTTCTTTCTTATTGTCTTTACCGATATAATTTTCCGTTCGAATTCACAGACATATTAAGTTCTACTATTCATTCGATGCATTAGGAAAAAAAAAGAGGCATATACAAACGAAACAAATAATTCATCATATTGCATGGTAATCAATATAGTGCGATTTTTACTAATGTCTTTGTGGATGTGATTTTTTGTTGTATTGTCTGTAAAAAAAAAAATAGATACTAATCAATTAAATAACACGAAAGCTGAAAGAAAAAAAAATATATAACACGAGATGAAATAGATCAATCAATTATTTGTTTACTTGAAAGAATTCAATCGATCAAATCTGTTTAGTTTCTTGTTTTGGTTCTATTTTTATTCAAATCTATTTCACAGTTGTTTTCACAATATCATAGAACAAAAACATATACGAATACATGAAAAACAAAAAACAAAAACCAAAATCAGGCGCACGTTATACATCTATAATTGAGTGAACATCACTCATAGTTGATTTGTTTTCTTGTTGAGATATAAAACATAAATGACGCATATATAATATATATATGTATATGTATATCGACGATAACAAAACAAAAAATATATATCATTGGTAGCAAGATCCATTTTGAAAGACATGCAATAGAAAAAACAAATTTGTATAAAGAAAATCAAAATAAGAATGAAAGAATTTAGCCTTAATATATTCAATATCGGAAGATGAAAAATTCCTTTTTTTTTTGTGTGTATGTATATTTCCCCCTTAATAATTTACCAATGTTACTTATTAGTTTGTTTTGTTGGTCTTTTTTTTTTTTTGAATGTTCTTTAAAATAACTCAATTCTTTTTCTTTTTTTTTTCTCTAGTGTATTATGAAGTAATCGTAGCGCCCGTATCATTAATTGTCGAATTGAAGATAATTTGTCGAAGTTGTTGAGATATAATACCACAATTGGAAAATTGTTTTTCGAATAGACGACATAAACGAGCAATCTTGAATGAATAATAGAGTAGAACAGGAAGAAATATATCATTTGAAAAAAGACAATAGATTTTGTTTTTATTAAATTATATGTATATTTTTTTCTTCGATTTGATTAATTTATAGAAAAGAATGAAAATTTTTTCGGATAAGAAAAGAAATGTATTAGAGATATAGATTTTGTATTATGTCTACTATTGAAAATATTTCTAAATAATTTATTACAAGTTTCTAAAGATTTTTGTTATTGTTTATTCATTTATAAATTAATATCAAATCGAAAAAGAAACAAATAATGAGAATAATTTTCTTAAGAAAGTTTAATTAACTTACTTTATTTTTATCTTCCATCGATGTAATTACTCGTTGTAGAATGCTAAGAAATAAAAATAAAGAAAAAATATCGCTTACCTGTTGGAATAAATTTGACATACGTGACATAGATCTCTTGACAATGTGTATTATATATTAATTGTTTAGCAAATGCATCAAATCGAATCCATATTAATGTATTTCGATCTTTTTTTATTGAAATATCTAATAAACGATATGTAAATCTAAATTAATTTAAACAAAAAAAAAAAGAATCATTTGAATTATTTTATTTTTTCAAATTAAATCTTACGGTTTAATAATCCATTCATATTGATCATTATGTATTAAATGTAAACAATCAATAATAATATCAAAAACACGACCAATTTGACTTATTCGAAAGAATGAATAGAGTATTAATATCCTTTGTTGATCATCATCATCATCATCATTATCATTTGTAATTAAATAATTTAAAATTTTTAATATCATTTTTCGTTGTATATCAATAGAAAAATCCGAAATATGATTAAGTATATCAAGTATTGTTATATCACGTAATTCTCCATTGTATCGTATAAGATTTTGTTCAATTTTCTTTTGTTTTAATTGAATATTTGAATCCAACCTATAGAATAATAAAAAAAAAATTTTGTTTGTTTTTTTTTTTGTGAAATCATTTTTAAAATGAAAAAAATAAAAAATAAAAAACAAAAATTTCCCACGACAAATGACAAAGATCATAAAAGAATTTTTCACGATATGTTTTCGTTTGAATCAATTCATTGTTTAACATTGATTGAATATTTATTACAGAAGACTAAATAAATCAAATAATTATTCTTATTTTTCTTTATAGATTTATATTCTACCAATGAATAAAGAAATTCAAAATAAATTCCTGTTGTTTTTCTAGCACGTTCAAGAATCTAGAAAATAAAATGAATTATTTTTATGAAACTTCTTTTTTTTTTCTTTTTTGAAAATTTACTTCAGTAGGATTATTTGATATTTCTGGATTTAATAATAGTTCAATCCAAAGTTCAATTGAACATGGAAATTCTTCAAGTAATGTTTCAATATAAAGTTTTGATTGATCAAATCTATATATAATTATATTAGATAAGAGTAAATATTCGAAATTATTGAAACCTTTTAGTGGCATTTAAATAATGAATTCTATTAATATACAAAGCAAAATTAGTTTCTGACAGGTCCATTGGATTGATAAAATTATCAAAAAATTTATCTATTTCATCTTGTGAATGTGAATAATTGGATAGTGCATACCAAGGACAAATAAATGGTTCAAACTACAACAATAAGAAAAAAAGAATTACATATAAAAATAATTTTTCATTATCAATAAATAGAAAAATTTCAAACAAACATATATTTGTTTATCAAATCGATTTTCATCCATTTGTTGATAGAGAATTCGAGGAAATGAACCAAATACAAATATGTATAATAAAACTAGGATAAGATATATTCGATGTTCATTTTCAAGAAAAGAATTTGATAGATAATTCTAAATATTAGAACAAAAATAAAACGAAAATTAGAAATTTATTTATTTTTACTTGAATTTTTTCATATGCTTGATCACTATTTAATGAAACATTAGCATGAAACATAGCTAATTCACATATTGCATATGAACGATTATGAAAATCAAATTCATCTGATTGTATATATGTTAAATAAATTGATAATAATTCTTCTATATTATTTGTACATAAATAAAAAATCTAATAAATAATGAAACACAATAGAATTTTATTTTAATGTTTCTCTTTTTCTTTTTCTTTCTTACCGTCCAAAATAAATCATAACTTTGAGCATTTTTAATTGCAGCAGAACATAAATGATGTAATTCATCATGAGACATATGCCAACTTGAAAATTCAAGATAAAGACACCATAATTGTGCATTAGTCCGTTGGGATTCAAGACCTTCGACTAAATCAGCAACAGCTTGTTCAGGTGAAAAATCATCTCTAAATATAAATGAAAAAAAAAAGACAATTGATGCAATTCCTGTAGGATTAGAATGTCAAACATAAAGTAGCTGGTATTCATAATTACAAGTAGGATTGTTTTAATCTATCTATTTTGGGACGTATTTCTTTACTATCTTTTTTAGAGAGCTATAAGTCCATGTTTTTGTGGACCCGGACCCGGCCAGGTTTGTACCCGAGGTTTTTTCTATCAATACCGAGCACCCTTCATGTACATGAACAAGTGAACAATCAAGGTTTCAGCTGTTTATTCGCTACTCTCAGAAAAAGCTCAACGTATAGTTATATCTTGTTGCCGTATTTCTCATCTAGGGAGCGGTGGGTCCACAAAAACGTATAACTGAGCCCAACAAACAATAAAATGTTGGATCCGAACCCGACAAAAGAACTAAAACTTTGGACTCGGACCTGGTCGGTTCTGGAAGAACCCACAGCTTCTTAACAGGCCTCGAAATCGGGCCACTTTTTTATGGTTCGATCCGGCCCACCCGGCCCGGGTCCGAAAGAAACTTCGTTTACAAAGATTTTTTTTTCTTAATAAACAGCTATTCCATATTTTTTGGCTTTTATAAAAAGTGATGACCAAGGGGGAGTAGCGTGAAGAAGCTTCTTTCTGTCCTTCCCTTCAGGAGTGAGTCAAATCTCAGAAAAATTTATGTCGAAAAAGGATAAAATCGTCGGACTGGGCGGCCCGCTCCCTAATCCTCTTACTTAATCCTTCAGAGATGCAATAAGAAAATAGTTCAGATATGATAATGGGAAGTTATTGATATGTAGCCTTTGATTGTATATCACAGTCTGCGAAGGGAGCCCAAACTTTTATCCCTATGCTGTGACCCATGTCGTCAATTTTCTGTCCTGAAGAGATCAATTTTAATATGCTACAATATATTATATCAGTTGATCCCACAGATTAAGTTTCTCGTACTTCTTCGGATTACACTTTCCCCTCCTTCACTCTCATACGGTACTGTACCAGTCAATATGGATATAGGGTGTATGTGTATAACCTGAAGGACAATCATTATTAACAAATAATCAAACTCGAAAATTGAGGAAAAACAGCTGGTGTGACTGATACAGACGGCATGAGCATGCTCACTTCTTATATGAGGCATGGTTTTATTTGAAATCTAACATTTGTCTAAGAACTTGTGAGATATATAAAAACAACTCAGCAGAAGAACTGCACATGAGAAACACTACTTTCAGACCATTCCGCAAGAAATCGACTCGTGTTGATCTCTATTGAATTCATAAACTACTTCTCAAAATGAATGATTTATATTAAAATATTCTTAATTTTAAATTTGGCATTTCATATCAACTGTTTACATTACTGAAGAATTATTCATGTTAATTTTTCATATAAACTTTTTAAAAAAGAAAAAAGAACTTTTGTATTTTTTTTGTATGATAATTTATAGACAAATAGTAAAATTTTAAACATACGAATCAAGTTCATTTGATACACTAACAAGTATTGGATGAATAATAGAAAGACTATCATTAGTTGATTTATCTCGAAAATATCGAAAATCTTCATGATAAATTGAAAGATATCGATCAAGTTTCATTCGACCTTATTATGACAAAAAAAAAACAACAACAATAGAAATGAAATATAACAAAAAAAAGAAACAACTTACATCGTTGATACTGTTTCTCATTAATTCTTTTTTCAAATATAGATAAATCCACATCAAATGATTGTAATGAACATATACTATCAATTTGATTTAAAATTTCTAATAAACAATATATTTAATAGATTATAAATAATTATTTTATCAAAACGAACTTTGTTTATTTTTTTCATTAAATTTTTTTGATGAAAGAAATTGTTCAATACGATTGGAAATTTGATGTTGATGTTGACTAATAGAAATTAAAAATCATTTATTTACTTTATATTTATAGAATATTAAAAAGTAATGGCAATAGCTTCTATAATATCTTATAGAAGACTTGCAGAAATATTCTCTCTATATATACTGATAGTTCAAACTATAATATTTCATAATTCTTCGTTCGATATGATAATATAGAAATGGGATCAATGCTGTTTATCATAGATTGAGATAGATAAGGAAAATTTTCGCTTATATATTTAAGTCCGTACTGTACTAGAGTTAATTTCTGGCGACCAGACGCCATCTCTCGGAACAATTGAATGATGATATTCATATTTTCGTGAAAGACGAAGAATGACCTACTAGCCGAGCTCTGCGGTATCAAATTTTTTTTGACTCCGATGCAAGTCTCTATCTACCAAATTTGTAATTCCGACCATAAAGAGTGTTTACTAAGCTTTCAACTCTAATTGTTATAAGCATTGTAAAATTTCATAGATAATTTTCAATTACAGCGATTTTCAAATTTGTAAAAATTCAGTTGACATTAAATAATTGAAAAATTACGATCGCAAACAGCGATTTGAGACTGCTCGATTAAAGACGAATGGAATTACACTGAAAATCTTCACTTTTAGTTTCCAACAAATGTGTTTGCTAAAGTCACTACTCATTTTCAAAGTCTTTCTTCATTGTATCTTCAACATACATTCCATGCCAAAGTTACTACTAGACGTCGAGAAGTACTTCTGTCCTCCAAGCATGTATTCTAGTTCTTACGAGAAAAATTAGTAAACAATTTATTGACGAAAATGTATCACAATTATTAGACTGGGCATCTAACAGTCCGAGTGCAAATTCGATCGAGAACATATGATCGATAGTGAAACGCAACATGAAAAAAAGAAACCTGTAAATACTGATGAGTTCGAACTTTTTTTAGCCGAAGAATTTAGAAATATTGAACTATGATAATATTTGATATCACTCGTTGTAGTCTAAAACATCTGAAGATGGCTCCTATTTAATCAACATTTTTCAGGTGAACGAGTCAAAAATGTTGAAATTTCGATTATAAAATATTTTTCTTGCGTTCAAGAAAAAAGAGAAATTTGTCTTATTTTTCTTCTACAAATGAACAGATGGAATATTAAATTATGATGTCGCATAGTACTCGTCGTGGGCTATCCACTACACTATAAAAAAAAAAATGTTCGAAAAACACTTATATAGAAGATAATATCTGTAGAAGAAGTTGTACAAGTTTTTTTGCAAACATTTGTATATGTATTAGAGTTGTGAGTGAGATCGCAACAGGTGAACATTATTTTAAGTCGGTCAGGCCAATGTAGCATCGATTGTTGTGACTGAACTCGAATTAATAAAATTCGATTCGATCTCTGAACCGTACTATTAGTTCTGATGTATATAGAGAAAATTTCTTCGAGCCTTCTATAATATATTATAGAAGTCATTGACACTAATTTTTCGTATGTCTTCAGTAAATAAAACTTACTAAATACAATTTTGAGCTTTACATGAACCTTGAAGTTCATATGGACAAAGAATATGATTAATATCAATAAAATATGATTGTAAACATGTTTTCCAGTACTGTTCAGTATTTTGCGTAGAAAATCTAATCAATAGAAAAAAAAAAGCCGAACTTTGAATTAAATTAATTTTTAGAAAATTTTTATACTTACGAACGTGTTCGTAATAATAAAGATGAATTATCTTCATTTGATAACTAAATAAAAAAAAAAAGAATTTTTGTTTTTCGTATAAATAAATAACCATAAGAATATAAATAACCTCTTGAATTTTTTTTGATATAGTATTTAACCAAATATGATAAGGACGTAATTTTCGATAAAAATTTAATGGACAAATGAGTATTGATAAAAGTATTTGTGTCTATAATAACATAGAAAACAAAAGTAATAAAAAAAAGCAAAAATCATTATTTATTGTCAATATTATATACATACACTATTTTCTTCGAATACTTTCGAAATATTATCATAATCAAATTCAATTGTTGTACGTGATTTAGAAACCGATGATGAAATCTAAAGTAAAATATTTTAATAAAAATTTTTCAAGAAAAAACAAAAAAAAATTACTGGTTTAACAGATTTAAAAACAGCCGATTGAAGAATTAAATCTTCTTGTTGTCTTATATTTTGTGCAATTGACATTGCCTAATTCAATCAAAAATCATGATAATAATTTTATTTTTATTAAATTTATTTCAAAATAATTTTCTTACTTCTTTTTGCCAATATTGTAAAAGTGCATTATTATTTGTAATTTGAGTTTTTTTTGTTAATAATTGTTCTTCAAGTCTTTCAATATCACGTGCTAAAAGTCCATTTTCTAATTTTTTCTTTTTCATTTTTTCTTGAATTTCACCATATTTAGATCGGTCACTAAGTAACATTCGACTAGAATAAGAAAATATATTTTTTCTTGGTTTTTTTTTTTCATTCAAATTATATCTTAGAAAAGGTCCTAATAATATTGTTAGCATTTTGATTCAATTGAAATATTAATTCAACTTTTTAAACTAGGATTTTGATCCAGAATAGAGAAATGTACCGTTACGCTATCCTAATTTCTCGATAGGTGAAGACTGTCGAAAACGATCTTTTCCTTTCTATTTAGATGTTTAAAAGGACTACTTTATAGACAAAAACTCTTCTCTTTCGTTCTACGCAAAGCCGACATTCTTAGCTTGTTCTGTTTGAGAGTTATACAACTTTTCCTGAGATTCTCGATTTCAACCAATTGATCTGTGATCATCTGGAAAAGCAACCAGAAAGGAGTAATTCACTATTCCGAATCGAATGATGATATATTTTTTTTCAAATTCAAAATGATTTGACTCTGTTATCTCAGTATTTCTATAATTTCACAATCAGCCTTCATATGTAACGAAGGAGTTGACACTTCAGAAATATTGAAATAACTAAAACCAAACAAATATCACCATTCAATTCAGCATGGTTAATTGCTCCTATCTAGCTGTTATTCCAGGTGATCACAGATCAATTGGCTGGAATCGCGGATCTCAAGAAAAGTTTTCTAACTCTCGAATGGAACAAGCTAGGAATGTCGACGTTGCGTAAATCGAATCAAGAGCTTATCTGATTGACCAATCAAATTTCGATATAGCTCGATGATCCACCAGTAGAGTCAATTAGTTTCAAGAATTTCTGGACATGGATCTGATGGACTCTATCCACGGATCTTCTCTTTTACATGGTGAAAACTGCACATCTCTATGATATTCCTATCAAAAGTTATTAAAAAAACAGTCGAGTGCATTCTACATTGAAAGAAATAGTTGAGAAAATTTGTTTTTTTGTACCGTTTATCTAATAAAGCACTTAATTCATCTGTTGATGGTATTGCTTCTTGACTGATATCATTCGGTGTTGATGTTTGATTTTTTTGTACTATAGTTTTAGTTGTTGATTCAATAGTATTAGTTCGTCGAATAACATCTTCTTGAAGTTGTTGTAAACGTTTAATAGCTTGACGTTCTTCATCAGCAATTACATATGTTGATTCATTTGATTTTTTAACTGTTTGTTGTTGTTGTTGTTGTTGTTGTTGTTCATCATCATCTGTTGTTTGATCATCAAATGTAATTATAATTGGATTTGATTGTGGAATTTCAATATCAGTTTCAGGCTTATGAAAAAGAAGAAAAAAATTATTGAATTAAAATAAAAAATAAAAATACATACTACACGAACAATTTTATTTCGTGTTTGAATAATTGGTTGTGTAGTACGAACAGCAGTTGTTGTTGTTGTTGTTGTTTCAATTTTATTTGTTAAATTTGTTGATGATACATTAGCTTTAACACGTTTATATCGTTGATTAATACTATATTGTGTTTTTTCAATTGGTTTATTTACGACAATAGGTATTGTTGGATTTGTATTTGTTTGTATAATTGTTGATGGTACTATTGTAACAATACGTTCTGGTTCTAAATTTGTTTTTTCAATTATTTTAACTTGACGTTTATTTGATAATTTACGTAAAAGTTCTTCACGTAATAAACGTTCTTCTTCATCATCATCATCATTGTTCTTATTATTATTTTCAATTAGTATTGGTAATTTTTCTTGTATTTTTTCATATTGATTTGTTGTATTTATAATAATAATAGGCGATGGAGATTCACGTTCATGATGATGTTTTTTTGAAGTTTTTTTTGTACGTTTTCGTTTTTGTTGTGATTTTTTATGTAATAATTGTTCATTGATTTGATTTATTGAATGATGATGATGATTATGATTATGATTATGATTATGATTATGATTTATTGGTTGAACACGAAGATCAATATCTGTTGTATGATTAAATGATGTTTGCCATAAATCATTTTGAATTGTTGGTATTGAATTTTGTTGAACAAAATTTGGTCGTGGCCAATTTGTTGATGAAAATGTTTGATTAGCCGTAAATATATCAAATAATGATGGTGGCGGAGGTGGAAGTGGTGGTAATGGATCAAAAAATGGTAAATGATTTGGTGGTAATGGTGGTGGTGGTGGTGGGATTGGAGGTAGTGGAGGTGGTGGCACTACTGTAATCGGATGATCATCAACAATGTCCATTTGTTGAATATCATAATTATCAAGAAGTTTTTTATTAGTGATATTTGTAGCAGTGGAATTATTGTTATTATTATCAGGCGAGATAAGAGAAAGAAGCATATCGAAAACACTTTGTTGTCGATAATCTTTATCAAGTAAATATTCTCGATCATCATTATTATTTGATATTTGATTTGTATTATATCGTGATGATGAACGATTTTTATTAGGTGAACGAAGATCAATATCATCTTTTATATAACGATTATTGTCATTAGGACGTTTACGTTTTGATTTAAATTCTAATAGAAAAAAAAAACAAATACGAAAAAATTTTTGTAGAATAAAAATTATAAATTTACTTTTAGTTTTTTGTTTTTTTGCTCCAGCCAATGATCGTAAAGCATTTAAACGTAGATTAAGTTCTTCAACATCATCATCATCATTCTATTATTGATTAAAAAAATAACAAAAAATGAATATAATAAACAAGAAAGTGAACGATTAAACGAAACTTATGAATTTAATTCTTTGTTAAAAGTCCTACAATTAGTGTTTGACATGAATCCCAAAAAAAAGCTTCTGAGATTGTATTCGCATGAAGAACTTTCTTAGGTTTCGTAGTAGAAATTTGTTTTTAGTATAGGAGAGGATAAGGATGTAATGACGTATTCTCACTACATACACATCGAACCTATCTATTCTCTTTGATGTTTTTATTCCTATTGTTTTTCTTTGTCCTTGATTAATCTTTGTATTCGTTTCTATTTTGTTCTTGTTTTTCATGTGTGTATATAAACGTTTGTTTTCTGGAAGAATAAATAGAGAGAAGAAAACATATTTTAACTATGTTCGTCGCTCCTCATGAACGTGAGCTCTAGCGAAGGGTTAGAAAATTTTTCTTACGAGGAAAGTCCTTCAATTGCTATGAAGTCGAAATGATGTGCATTATGTAGACCAGAGACTTAACCGAATTCGAGCCAGTAAACTCAGTTCGAATCGATCTCTGATCTATAAGTCATTTCTTAATGAAAGAATTAAATCGACGAATTTTCTGTAACTCTTTTACCTGTTTCCCTGTTAACAGTACCTTTCCACTCGTACGTGAAATATGATCATTAAATCTGCCGGTTAATATGGACAATGTAAAAGATCAAGGCAGAAATATTAAGATAGGAATAGCAACAAGATCTGAAACATCCACAAAAAATCTATTCTCTCTAAGACCTGTCCCTATGCAAAGTTTCCAGTCGAAAATCAGTTTTCCTATGTATTCAGAAGTCATTGGAGTATTTGATTTCGGTTCGGGTAACTCTTTTTTGTAGTAGTTTCGGCCTAGAGAAAACTATTCCAGAATTGATTCGTATCACACTTCAATACTCGTTTTTTTGATTTATTTAATCGATGACTAGCACTTTTTTTCGGTCATCTTTCTTGAATTATGTTGTGATTTATAGGATAATTCGCTTAAAATCGTAGAATATTTAATTACGATCTTTAGTTTCAATCGATAGGACTTTTTTATTCCTTGTTCTATTATCAGCAACTTTCTTCTACGCTATATTGATATAAAATTTATAAGTCTTATCAAGTCCATTTATTAATATTAATATGAGTCGTAATTGAAAAACAACAGGCGATGGTTATGTAATTCTTATATTGTTTTTTTTTCGATTAAATTAATCGCATTAATTTTCCTCTTTTTAATTATCTTCAAATTAACTGTTGAGAAAAAAATAATAAATCTATGACACATACATCTGATCCTTGTGATTCTGTTATTTCACCATCTTCAATTTCTTTTTTATTAATAATAACATCATCATTATCAAGCGTAATTATTTCACCTTCTTCAACTATTGATGTATTATCAATAATTGTTACATCTGGTTCATTTTGATTATTATTATTATTATTATTATTATCATCCTTAGTATTCGTTGTCATGTCTTCATCTGTTTTTGTTATTCGACAAAGTAAATCAATAAATTCTTGTCGACTAACATTTGAATTTTTTACATCTGTTATCATCTAAAACAAAAATTATCAATTTTATTATTAATTATTTAAACAAAAAAAAAAACTAGATGAATGTTAATTGTTAAAACAATGGCTCAAAGATATCAAAAAAGAAATTCTTTTTTGGTCGATTTAAAAATGCATTTGAAAGACTACCATAATTGACATTTAGAACTCGGATTCATCATTGTGTTTGATCTACATGAAAATGCTTTCGAAAATTCATCACTATTTTGTACTGTTCCAAATATACGAATAGATGCTGGTGAATGTGGATCACTTATTAAATCGTCATGCAAAGAATTTGAAGTTTCAATATCACACCAAGTCTATGGGAAAAGAAAAAAAATTATGTTTTTTTTTTTTTGACCGTTTAAAATTTCATACATAAGCAAATGCAATAAAGAATAATTGATCATTATTATAATTTAAACTTGGAAGACGAAGATCATTACTAGTATTTAATGTACGTTGTTTATGTTTTTGATATGCAAAATAAGATATTTTTACACCACCATTATCAGCAATATTTTCATCTAGAGAAATTAAAATAATAGAAAAATTAGAAAAAAAAAAAACAAAAATAAAGAGAAAATCAAACTTGAGCAATTTGTTAGCATAGAAAAATTCTTACAATTTTTGATTATGTTTTTTTGACTAAAATGAATATTGATGGTTTTTGTTTTTAAACACAATAAGATTATATGAAAGAATTAACGAGATAGAATTGATAAGACAAAAATCATCTTAGCAAAAGTATTGTATGAAAATGATGTTCGATTTTGACGTTTTTAGTTTTTTCATTCTGACTTTTTATCAAAACTTTTTCAGGTATGTTTTAAGAAGATAGTGAACATTCAAATAATTTTATCTTATATAGTATCAGACAAAAAGATGTTCGAAGTTTTCCTCTTTGGATTTCTGAAAACCATAGGTCGCTAACTGTTACTATTGTCGAGTTATTGAGCGTAAATCTACTGTTCTTTTATTCCAAGGTGAATATTACAGATGTGCGGACAAAAGGTTTTTAATTCCCATAATTATGATTAGAGTTGCAACGACGACGATCATTCACCGGTCCTAAAGTTATCGGTTTTTCATAAAGATTGACGAAAGTAAATCGAGGTCGAAGAATCTGAATCTGTAATTGATTCCTCGAAATCGTATACTTGGTTTATTGGTCTGCTCTCCTACAATAGCATTTCTCGACGTGAAAAATTTTAGTATTCAATTTTGAGAAACTGATCGCCGATTTGGATTTTTCGATCCCGATTTACATTCATCAACCTTTATAGAGAACCTCTATTTTCTGAGAAAATCCTTTCCTTTGTGAAAAATCAATAACCGTAGATAGAGTTATCATCATCGTTACATCCTTAGTTATGACCTTGATAAATCTGATTTAGTTTCGATCTAGAAAAACCTATTTCAGAATTTATTCGTATCACATCTAAAAAAATTCTTCGATACTCGTTTTTTTTAAATTTATTTTAGTCGACGACTAACACTTTTTAGGTCATCTCTCTCTTGTACTCTTTTTCAATATATAATTCGCTTAAAACTATAAAATATCTACTTATAATCTTGTGTTTCTATTGGAACATTTTTTTTTCTGTTAGTCTCACTTCTAGCAAAATTCCAGATTTTGACCCTACACATCTCAACTTCCAACTGATTAATTACTTTTGAATATGAAAAGTATGTGCATCATGTAGATTCTAATGATGCTATGAATATTCTTAGAAGAGTTCATGTTCTTTTATCTAACCTAATGTTCTTTGTCCATTGGCATATTGTCCATCGATTGAAAAATTTGAATATTGTTTAATAAAACAATTTGTTTTTTCTTGAAAATTATTTAATGATATATTTGTCCACCATGAACGTAAATTTCCATTACTATCATATTCTCGACCTTCATTATCAAAACCATGTGTAACTTCATGACCAATAACTGATCCAATAGCTCCATAATTAATTGCTAATGGTAAATCTTTATGAAATAATGGTGATTGAAGAATACCAGCTGGAAAAACAATTTCATTTAATTGTAGAGCATAATAAGCATTAACTGTTCGTGGTGTTATACTCCATCTTAATGGAAAAAAGAAAAAATAATTGTTTATACTATTGTATTTTCTTTTTTTTTCGTAGTTTAAATTCTTACTCAATAGAATCAACTTTTTGTCGATATTTTAAAATTCGACGTCGATGTTCTCGTTGTTGTACTTGAATTGCATTATTAAAATATTCATTTTCCATAATTGAATAATCAGCATAACTAAAATTAAACTTTTTTTTTTTTTATGGTTTTATTTTTCTAAGAATGCGACTATATAAACCTATAAATTCATATATATTTTCCAATGAAGAATTTTCATGAAAATATATCGCCGGATCGGGGTTACATGTTTTTGTGGATCTGCAGCTCTCTAGTTGAAGGACTGCTATTTTAAGTTTTATAGTATTTGAAAAGTTCTATCGGTTAGTATGTAAAGATTATGTCTTTCTGTCGATAGGTTAATCAGCAGAATGTGATTTGAATAAATTATAGAATTTTTTTTTTCTAGAGGTCTCGAATTTTCATCTGAAACTTTGTTCATATAGGAAATCTTGTCAGATAGCCAATTCAATATCGAAAAATTCATGAATTATTAATAGTTTAACTAACCGTTCATTTAATTTTGTTTGATTTTTTATAAATTCTGGATAACCAATTTTTTCATTCATTTTTTCTAATTTTTTCTTTGCTTCAATTTTTGATTGTTCATCAATCCATTGAAGATTATTAAGATTTTCTTCGAAACTTATACGAATATTTTTAACTAATTCATTTGCTTTTAATCGATCAGTTTCATCGAATACAGCTCTACTATATAAAGCACCTTAAAATAAAACTTGTTTTTTTTTTCTTTTTTTTTTTTTTTTTTTTTTTTTGTAACTTACCAAGTCCATATCCAAATGCTTCATCTGTTCGTTTAATACAAAATTCCCATCGTTCAGTTAGTGAATCAATTCCATAAAGTTCTTTTTTTAATGGTAATAGAGTTTTTTCAAATAAAGGTGATAAATATAAAATTTTATCAAATACAAATGAAAATAATAAATGATCAATAATAATATAACTTTTATTTAATGTTAATAAATAATTTGTTAAAATTTTTGATATATTTAACATAAGTTCATAGGAATAAACAATAATTTGATCATTTTCATTTAATTTTATTGGATTTGATATATTTACATTAAATATATCATTTAAAAATAAATATATATCAAATCCTATAGATTTATATTGTTCTTGAAATTGTTTTAAACTCATTAAATGATATTTTTCTAATGGTTTTTGTAAAATTTCCATAGGTACTTAAAAAAAAAAGATAAACAATTCTTATAAAATAAATTTTATATCAAATAATATACAAAAAAAACAACGAATATGTTTATCTAAGCTAGAGATGTGCGTGGGATACAACAAAACAAAAATTGCAGATTAGGATTAGCATGCTTACCCATATTTATTTCTCTAATCTTATCTTTTATTGTATAATTTCATATAAAATAACAAATACTTTAAAAACATATGTTTTTTTTTTCTTGTATTTGGCTAAAATATAGAAAATATACCATAATATTTTAATTTTCTCCATTAATTTATAATCAAAACACAAAACCTATTGACATAATTCCTATGGAATTAAAATGTAGAACACGATGTAACTGATATTACTCATTACAGAAAGATTATTTGGAATACACTTCCCCAGAAATGCAATAAGGAAGTTGTTCAGACATTATTGATATACAATCTTTAATCTAGAGTTTGACGATTTCGAAAAAAATTGGAACATTGGGAAAAACAAAAAACGTTTTAGAATCGTTAAATCATCAGATGGATAGAAAAAATTTCTTTTTCGAGAAATCTTTATTCTTGAGATTAAAGATTTAAGTATTGAAATATGTAGTGTTTTTAATTTCAATAATTCCAGATAATTTTTGGAACCGTCAATGATTTATCACTACCGACATATATCGAATAGTTTTTGTTCGGTTTTTTTATTTTTTAAGAATATAATTAACTTACAATTAACTATTGCAAGTTCAGTTTCAAATTGAATAATATTATCCATACGTTTAATTGAATCATTTTTTTCAAAACCAAGTAATTGTAATATATCTGAACCAACTTTACTATATGCTTCTCGAATCTAAATATAAAAAGAAAAAAATTTTAGAAAATTGAATAAATTTAAAAAAAAAAAAATTTACATTTTGATTTGTTCGATTATTTTTTGTTGAATTAATATAATAATCTCGACTATCAAGAATAAGTTTAGGTTGATTAATCTTAAAAAAAAAAGAAAAACAAAATTTTATTTATCAAAAAAAAAGAAAAAACAAATTTACATGAATATTATACCATGTTGAATTTTTTTCATCTGGACTAATTTTAATTGGAAATATATTTGTAAATTCATATTGATTTGAAAATATTTTAATTAAATAAATAAATAATTGTTGCCATGTTTGATTTTTATCTAAATTAATCCATTGGTTTAATGTAAAATTTAAATTTAATTGAAAAAATTTTTCTAATGGTTCAATATGTAATCGTTCACTTTCTGTTATATTCATACATGATTGATAATATTTAATAGTTTGTTGTTCAGTATTAGATAATAATAATGATATTGATGTTTGTTCAAGAAGATTTTTTAATATAATTATATTTTTTTTTGTTAATTCATTTATTATTGACCATGATGAATGACCTTTTGGAATAATATTTTTTTTAATCCAATTACCACATACAAATTCATGAAAATTTTCACATGGATCAATTGTTTGATTTATACTAGAATAATATTCATATGATACTTGAATACATGATGGAGTTAAACATATGGAATTATAAAAATTTTCTTTTGAATATCGAAGATAAATAATAGTTATAATAAATAAAATAATTAAAAGAAAAATTGTTAAGAAAAATAAATAACGTTCAAGTAATG